AACTGATAGTACGTTAGCATTAAGCATTGAAGTTGGCGCCTTAACCTTGAAGGCCCTAAAACGCCTCTAATTAGAGTCTCGCCTAAATTTCTTGTAAATAAATGTGAGAACTTATCATATATAACTTTGAAGTTCACAAAACTTGAGAAACATCACACTCCGTAAAACGTGTCCGTAGTTTTTACGCGTATTAAAATTACATTAAAGATGAATTTTATTTCATATATTAATTTATTTTTATTCTATTTCAGTTTAATCACAGGTTGTTGACCAATATTCAAGTTTAATATACATGGAAAATTTTCAGACCTTTATTCATTAAATTCAGTGACCAACTTGATTTCGTGTGCTGTTACGGGTATAAGGCCTGATGTCACTTCCCGGCTGCCCACACCGTGGAAGGCTATTTCTTGAGGAACCTGAAAATGAAATTGAATTATCGTTGGTCTTAATGACCTGAGAGCGTGACTGCCGAGCCCAAGTAACAACTGCTTGAGGCCGGTCGTACACGGCCTTTTTGTGGGAAGTTTTTAACGTGTTAGTTCCGTTCTTCAAGAGGCCTTACCGCCGGAGACGGTAATTTGAAAGATAAGGTGAGGTGTGACATTTTTATGGTTGATCTTTTCTCACACCACCCCTTCTTGTGAGAAGGCAGCAGCGCTGCAGATGCTGGTTTTCAGAGGGAAACACCTTAATGCTGTCACACCCCTCTCCATTCAGCAGTACAACTTCGTTCCCAGACCTTGAGTTGCTACTTTTAATCTTCCCGTTCTCCAGTCGACCTGCCTGACATGATGAGTCGGATCATCTTGATAGGCGAACCCGACCACCACATCAAGGTAGGAGCTACGGTCGGAATTCATTAAATTCATTGATGTTGTTTACCTGAATCTTATCACTGATTTTCAGGACGGCAATTGACCGGTCTCTTATTGGCATATGTACAAAGTGTGCGTATTGCCTCGATGCTGCGTAGCATTTGAATCCAGGACGAGTGTTTCATCACTATCTATCTTTGCTTATAATGCTTATCACTTAGTGGCAACATCGAGGCAATCCGCACAGGAAGTACATATTCCATTAAGAAACTGATCGATTGCAGTTCTAAACATCAATCGGAAGATTCAAGTAAATAATACCAAGTGAATTTAAATTTTACCCCATTACACAAGCAATTGGCTATCAGGACTGAATAACGCGATGGCATTTAAAGTGAACGGTACTGTATTCGAATTGCAGTGAACATCAACTCTAAGATGTAGGTAAATTTAGTTGATGAATCGAAAATCGAGCAAAATGAGCGTTCTGATATTCCACCATTAGCCACTATCCATCTTTATTTCATTCATGAAAATCTTTAAATAAATTTAATACATATGAGTATTAATTAGACAAAACCAAATGTCAAATTCCATATCTCTATCTATATGACCTACAACCAAATTATTTACAATTTATAAACATAATTTAGAATATTATAATTAATAAATTGTATATTATTTTCAATGTTTATAAATATATATAAATGAAAGAGAGGGAGGAGAAGAGGGAGGTGGAGAGGGAGGTTGAGAGGGAGGAAGGAAAGGGAGAGGGAGAGGAAGAGAAAAAAAAGGTAATCGGAATGTTTTACTAAAAACACAAAAAAAACTTATTACACAATCAGTAACATTTACTTTATAGTAATAAAAAAAATAAAAAATAAAAATGAAAAAAAAAAAATCTATTACATTTATGAATATTTAAATCGAAATAATAATGAAATTACTTAAATGGCAATAGCAACAAAAACAAAAAGATCAGTCTATTTATTACTTTGGGATATAAATCATTATGTGAAATAACAATAATGCACAAATTATAGAAATAGAATAAGGCTGTTCTATGGTATCTTAAATCTATTTTTTCTTTTATTTGAATTATGCAATTAAGTAGTATGAGAATATAAGATATTGTAAATGTCAAATTTTTCTCATTATAATATGTATATTAAAGTATTTAGTTTATTAGTATAGAATAATTAAGGTTGTATTTAATACACATATATTCTAAGTTAATTTATAATGATATCTAATAGATAAGATGAAGATTATGACATAATCAACCATAAATCATAAATAGATAGGTAGATAGATGTGTGGATAGATAGATAGATAGTTAGATAGATAGATGTATAGATAGATAGATAGATAGGTAGATAGATGTGTGGATAGATAGATAGATAGTTAGATAGATAGATGTATAGATAGATAGATAGGTAAATAGATAGATAGATAGATGTATAGATAGATACATAGATAGATAGATAGATAGGTAGATAGATAGATAGATAGGTAAAGAGATAGATAGATAGATGTATAGATAGATACATAGATAGATAGATAGATAGGTAGATAGATAGATAGATGGATAGATAGATAGATAGATAGGTAAATAGGTAGATAGATAGATGTATAGATAGATACATAGATAGATAGATAGATAGATGTGTGGATAGATAGATAGATAGTTAGATAGATAGATGTATAGATAGATAGATAGATAGGTAAATAGATAGATAGATAGATGTATAGATAGATACATAGATAGATAGATAGATAGATAGATAGATAGGTAGATAGATAGATAGATGGATAGATAGATAGATAGTTAGATAGGATAAAATGGCTATCGAATCCTTCTAGGTTTTCCATGGTGGTCTAACTTTAATTAACTCATGATCTCAACTATTAAAATCAATGATATATGCAAATCAACTGAATATATATGAAGAATTGTTTAGTTCTCTAATGTATCAATCGTATGCATTATAAATTAAAAACCGAATTATAATATTATACATTACTGAAATATTCTTTCTGGTTAGCGTTTTTTTTTAGCGAATCAGTTTTCTACGGGATGGAGTCGCTAACCTTATGCCCAGCTCTCCTCCTTTACCCGAGCTTGGGACCGGCAGTAACTCTATAAGAGCTACAGGCGAAGTTAAAATATTATACATGAAATATTTATAATAATACTCTATTAATACTTTGATCTTATTGTTTAAAATATGTTTCTAGGAGTTGGATTAGAAATTCATTAGACAAGTTGAATGTATTTTCAATCATGTTACCAAGGTTATTCATTTGAAGTTTTAACATTTAATCAGATTAGATTTGATAAAGTAAGGTTGATTAGGATATGGATTATACAATTTAAAAAAAAAATATTATTTTAAAGGTAACACTACCATTAACATCCTTTCATTACAAGGTTTTATGAAAAGAACTCAGAAAAGTAGTTAAAGGGTAGTGTTATTGAATAAAATCAAGTAAATATTTTGGTTCTATCGTTAATTGAGTCACAAAGTGAACACTGAGATATAGATACATCCAGCTGACGAGTCCCAAGCAAGACGAAAAGCGCGTCCTGGATTCCAGTGCTAACCATCATCTATTTTTGCTTATAAAGCTTATGACGTAAGACAGTAACTAGGCATTTCGCATAGGATGCACATATGCTAACAAGAGACTGACCGATTACAGTTCCAAATAACAATGAGAAGATACTAGTAAACAATAGCAAGTGAATTTATCTGATAAGATTGATATTAACTCGGCTTTTGTGATTTTGTATAAAAGTGCAAAACGGCATATACTAAGGTTTATTGAAGCCTTAACCATACGAAAATGCAAACTTCCTTCGTATATTCGAGATCAGTTTGTTCACACCTTAAACCTACGCTTATTATCCAGAGTGATGAAGTTTCAAATTGTTTCCACATTATTTTCTTTATTATTTTTATCGCCTCTAATCCTCCATTTGTAGATTAGACGACCATTTATTTCTTTATACATATAAATGTTCCAAACAAGTGTGTTATGTGTGATCAATTTGTTCTAAATGTATTGCGCTAATATATCATCATCAGATAGTTCTGATAATCTTCATCTTCTTATTACACTATTGAAATTACTATATTTATCAATGACTTCATCAGATACACTAGAACGAAACGGTTATCCATTAAGTGTTTCCCTATGATCTATGGTAGTTTAGCTTCATAAATTCAACTACTGAATTTATTAAAAATCTCCACAAACCCACTTCCTTCCTTCCTTCCATCCTTCTGATAAGTTGATATGACACTATATCAATTTCTGTACTTTAAATGTCATACAATCAAGATGTAGAAGAAAGAAATCAATTATAAACATTTAAAAAAAACCCTGAAAAAAAGCAAAAAGAAAAACAACAACAAAACTCCAAGAAATGAATGTACACAATGAAATTTAATTATTTAATATCATGTCCATAATTTCAATTAATAAGAATCGGTGTACATCATTTAAATTTGGCGGTATAATTATATAATGAATATAAACATTATAATTAAATGTTCATTATTGAATGTTACTAATCAGTTTGTTTGTTTGATCGTACTATCAATCAAAAACAGGGAGAGAGAGAGAGAGAGAGAGAGAAGAGAATTACACATTTGTTTAACTATATAAAGTAAATACAATATATGAATTGTATATAAGTCATAAGTAATATATAAACATTCATAGAAATAAGTATCTATGCTTAAGAAGATATTTTGATCCTATTTTGATCATTAATTAGATAAGATAATTATTTATTATAAATGAAATTTCATTCATTTTAAATATAGTTGATAATAGTCGGAATGATATATGCATATGTATATAATGTTGTTGCCTAGGTTATAGGAGGTGGAATAAAGAAAATTGGTGAGCGGACTATGCTTCTCTATGAAGTATAAAAAGGCGTAAGTAAGTAAGGCAGTAAAAAGGTAGATAAGTGAAATTGCATATAATTAAGAGTTTAGGGAAAACATATTAATAATAATAATCCATTTCATAATGTAAATAATGAATACTAATTACTAATAAATTATGTATAATTAAATAAATAAACAGCTTGAATAGATGATAAATAATCTGACCTTCATTTCTTTCGAGATATAATCGATTGGTGTGCATCTGTGTACTTCTGATATCATGTTTGATGAAATTATGCAAGTATGTTTTACTACTACTACTACTACTACTACTACTACTACTACTACTACTACTACTACTACTACTACTACTACTACTACTACTACTACTACTACTACTACTACTACTACTACTACTACTACTACTACTACTACTACTACTACTACTACTACTACTACTACTACTACTACTACTACTACTACTACTACTACTACTACTACTACTACTACTACTACTACTACTACTACTACTACTACTACTACTACTACTACTACTACTACTACTACTACTACTACTACTACTACTACTACTACTACTACTACTACTACTACTACTACTACTACTACTACTACTACTACTACTACTACTACTACTACTACTACTACTACTACTACTACTACTACTACTACTACTACTACTACTACTACTACTACTACTACTACTACTACTACTACTACTACTACTACTACTACTACTACTACTACTACTACTACTACTACTACTACTACTACTACTACTACTACTACTACTACTACTACTACTACTACTACTACTACTACTACTACTACTACTACTACTACTACTACTACTACTACTACTACTACTACTACTACTACTACTACTACTACTACTACTACTACTACTACTACTACTACTACTACTACTACTACTACTACTACTACTACTACTACTACTACTACTACTACTACTACTACTACTACTACTACTACTACTACTACTACTACTACTACTACTACTACTACTACTACTACTACTACTACTACTACTACTACTACTACTACTATTTAAGCCACAAATAACCTCTAAGTAGTCTGATAGTTATCCTCTTAATGTCAGTCCTGGAAGTTATTGTTTCTATCACCGATGAAGTGGTGAATACTTATTGTTAGCTGTTTCCATACTTAGATGAAATAGGTATCTAGTACTTCCTGGTTTATAATCATTCTCAAATATAGTGCAATATTGTTTGAAGGAAATGAATTAATCACAGAGTCCAAATTAAGAAATAATATGATTTAAATTTTGATATATAAAACATTTTACAAAGAGCATTTAAGTCTATGTATTTTATGTATAACAGGAATGGCTCATCGTCAAGTATACATATACCGCTTTAACATATATTGAATATTGTCTTCAATAATAAAAAAATATTACAATGTATAATATATCAAATAAATAATATTCTCAGAATACTGACAAAATTACTTGATTTCTGACTTAACATTTATCCGTCTTTGCTTATAATACTTGCGATGTAAGGCAATATCGAGGCAGTTCGCACAGGATAGATATATGCTAATAGGAGATTGATTCATTGCAGTCCTAATTAGCAATCGGAAGATACAAGTAAACAACAAGTGAATATAACTTCACCCCATTTCACAATTAAGTGGCTATCAGGACTCAATAGCTAAGTGGATAACACTATGGCGGTTGAAGCGAATTGTACTAGATTCAAGTCCCAAAGTAAATATCAACACTGAGATGTTGGTAACTTCAGCTAACAACTCCCAAGTAGGACGAAACGTGCAACCTAAATTCCTCTGTTAGCCACTATCCATCTTCGCTTCGTACTATTAAGTTAATAACCTTCACTCAGTGATCTATTGACTATTATGTGTGTTTTTTCCACGTACATTCTTAGCTTCAAAATCTCCTGATATTAAACTTTATTAAGTGTTATATTTATGTTATTGCAGCTACATATAATATACTTACTTACTTACGCCTGTTACTCCTCGTGAAGGAGCATAGGCCGCTCACAAGCATTCTCCATTCAACCCTGCCTGGGCAATCCTTTCTAGCTCCGTCCAGTTGTAATTCATCATTTTCATATATGCTTCTATTATCCGACGCAATGTGTTCTTTCGCCTTCCTCTTTTTCGCTTCCCTTCAGGATTCCAAGTTAGCGCTTGCCTCGTGATGCAGTTTGACGATTTGCGTAATGTATGTCCTATCCATTACCATCGTCTTTTCCTAATTTCTTCTTCAGCTGGAAGTTGGTTTGTTCTCTCCCACAGAAGGCTATTGCTGATGGTATCCGGCCAATGGATGTTGAGTATCTTGCAAAGACAGCTATTTATAAATACTTGTACGTTCTTGATGGTGGTTGTTGTAGTTCTCCAAGTTTCAGCTCCATACAGTAGAACTGCCTTGACGTTGGTATTGAAGATTCTCACTTCGATATTGGTTGAAAGTTGTTTTGAGTTCCATATGTTCTTTAACTGTAGGAATGCTGTTCTTGCTTTGCCAATCCTTGCCTTTACGTCTGCATCTGAACTTCCTTGTTCATCGATGATGCTTCCTAGGTATGTGAAGGACTCTACATTTTCCAGAGTTTCGCCAACAAGAGTGATTGGATTGTTGTTTTCCGCTTTGAATTCAACGACTTTGGTTTTCCCTTTGTGTATGCTGAGGCCTACTGATGCAGAGACTGCTGCTACACTGGCTGTCTTCATCTGCATCTGTTCGTGTGTATGTAATAGGAGGGCTACGTCATCTGCGAAGTCCAAATCGTCTAATTGATTTCGAGCTGTCCATTGTATTCCGTGTTTTCCTTCAGATGTCGAGGTCATCATAATCCAGTCGACCACCAGAAGAAAGAGGAAGGGAGAGAGTAGACAGCCTTGTCTGACTCCAGTTCTTACTTGGAACGCATCTGTCAGCTGTCCTCCATGCACGACTTTGCACTGTATTCCGTCATATGAGTTCCGGATAATGTTGACAATCTTCTCAGGAACTCCGTAGTGTCGAAGAAGTTTCCATAACGTCCTCCTATCTACACTGTCGAGTCTTTTTCATAATCAATGAAGTTGATGTATAGTGATGAGTTCCTCTCAACTGATTGTTCGACGATGATCCGTAGTGTTGCGATTTGGTCTGTGCATGATCGATCCTTACGAAATCCAGATTGTTGATCTCGTCTACTGCATCTTTCGTCCGGTTCAGCAACACTCTGTTGAAGACTTTCCCTGGTATTGACAGCAGTGTAATGCCTCTGTAGTTTTCACATTTGCTCAGATCTCCTTTCTTTGGAATCTTGACAAGGTGTCCTTCTTTCCAGTCCATCGGCACTTGTTCCTCCTCCCAAATCTTTTTGAATAGAAGGTAAACCATGCTTGTGGTTGCTTCGATGTTTGATTTCAGTGCTTCAGCTGGTATGTTGTCGGGTCCTGCTGCTTTCCCGTTCTTGATTTGTCTGACGGCCATTCTAATTTCTTCCGTCGTTGGTGGGTTGACATCTATAGGAAGATCTATGTGTGCTGCTTCGATGTCCAGTGGATTCATTGGAGCCGGCCTATTCAGGAGTTCCTCGAAGTATTCTACCCATCTGTTCCGCTGTTGTTGAATTTCGGTGATTGGCTTGCCTTCTTTGTCAATGACCGGCCTCTCTGGTTTACTGTATTTCCCTGCTAGTTTCTTCGTTGTATCGTGAAGCTGTTTCATATTTCCTTCTCTAGCAGCTTTTTTTGCCGTCGTTGCTAGTTCTTCCACGTATTTCTTCTTGTCAGCTCTAATGCTCCTCTTCGCTTGTTTGTTTGCTTCTATGTATTCAGCTTGTGCTTGAACTTTCTCTGCTCGTGTTCCGCTGTTGTTTATTGTTGCCTTCTTGTTCCTCCTTTCTTTGATCTTGTTCAGTGTTTCTGTAGAGATCCACTCCTTATGATGGTATTTCTTTAGACTCAGAACCTCTTGACACGTTGAAGTTAATGCTTCCTTGATGCCTTTCCAGTTTTCCTCCATACTAGTTTCTTCTTCTTTCAGTAGGTCTTGTATGGCTTGGAACCTGTTGTTATGAGCTATCTTGAATTCATTGAGTTTGTCAGTATCTCGAAGGAAGGCTGTATTGAACCTTTGTAGTGCTGTTTGTTCACTTGTCCAGTTGTTTTTTAGCTTCAGCTTTAAATTGGCCACAATTAGGTGGTGATCTGAAGCTACTTCAGCACCTCTCCTGGTTCTCACATCTTCCATTGTCCTTCGGAATTTTTTGTTGATGCAAATATGATCTATTTGGTTCTCTGTAGTGTTGTCCGGTGAGATCCGTGTAGCCTTGTGTATACGCTTGTGTGGAAATATTGTGCCACCTATAACCAATTTGTTGAATGCACATAGATTTGCAAATCTTTCTCCATTTTCGTTTCTTTCTCCCAGTCCATGTCGTCCCATAATATCTTCATATCCAGTGTTGTCTATTCCGACTTTGGCATTTAGATATCCCATCAGAATAGTTAGGTCCTTTCTTGAGCATTTCTCAATGACTGACTGCAGGCGCTCGTAGGACTGATCTTTAATGTCGTCGTTGCTATCATTTGTGGGTGCATAACATTGGATAATATTCATTAAGATCCCCTCCTTCTTTGTTTTGAATGATGCTTTGATGATTCTGGATCCGTGAGATTCCCATCCTACAAGTGCATTTCGTGCTACTTTGGACAGCATAAGAGCGACTCCCTGAGTGTGTGGAGCATTTTCCTCTTCGTGACCGGAGTATAGCAGCATCTCTCCCGTAGCTAGCCTTTTCTGTCCAGCTTGGGTCCAGTGGGTTTCGCTGATTCCCATTACTGCTAAGTTGTATCTCCTCATTTCCATTGCTGTTTGACTGGTGTTCCCGGTTTCCCACATTGTTCGAACGTTCCATGTACCTATAAAAATATTTGCTCTGGTTGTTAGAAGGGGCATCAGCCTCGTGGCTTCCGAAGGAACTCGGCTTTCACCATGAAGCGTCATAATTCTTCTAAATGAAGACCTTCAAACTCCCAGGGCAGAGTTTAAATGGTTTGGATTATTTTTTCTGGTCAGCGTATTTTTAGCGAGTTAGTTTTCTGCGGGATGGGGACGCTAACCCCATGCCCAACCCTCCTGCTTTACCCGGGTTTGGGACCAGCAGTAACCCTATAAGAGCTACAGGCGGAGTTACATATAATATACAAATTTTTATATTTTTATCGATAAAAAAGATGGGAAATTTATCATATTGTTGAAATGTTTATAAATGAAGTAATTTTAGATAAGTAACGTATATCCTCTGAATGAGAATTTAATAGTTGAATTCATGAGTTGATCTAAGCTAGACCATCAGTGAAAACCTGAAAGCACTGGATGTCCACTTCATTGTAGTATAGCACTCTTCAATAATGTGCATCCATGTTTCCACACATGAGATTCAAACCTAGGATCTTAGATCTGGTGTGTGAACGCTTAACTTGTAGACCACTGAGCCGATATTTAACGGTGTTAGTGTTTAACATTAACCAATCCATGATATCGATCAATCCTTCATCTATTGTTTGTAATGAATTACTCTCTCAATCCGACACGGATTAGACTATATTTATTATTGATCAAATCCACTATACATTTATCATTATTATTATCACCACTAATAATCTTTAATTAACAATCATGTATTGTAAATACATGCCTCATATTCCCTAATTTCTAAACCATATTAGCTTTTCCAATGAGCGGAATTTCGTTTAAAATAGATGGATAGACAATTATCTTTTAAAGATTATTCATATTTCCGACTTTAAAAAAGTCCATTTGAATGTGAAGGTTTGTTTTCATCTTCTTCGTTTGATCAAATACAGCAAACCAATTAGTAACTAAATAATAGTATAAATGGATCGATAAACACGAAGAATCTGCTACAGATATAAGAACAAAAATACTAGTTTTCAGTACCATCCTTAAACACAATGTCATTGTATCATACTTACTTACTTACTTACTTACTTACTTACTTACTTACTTACTTACTTACTTACTTACTTACTTACTTACTT